GTAACCATAAAAAACTATCCATCCCTGTAGCCCCAATGTTAACCCTAACACTAATCATCCCTGTAACCCCAACATTAACCGTAACACTAATCATCCCTGTAACCCCAACATTAACCGTAACACTAATCATCCCTGTAACCCCAATATTAACCCTAACACTAATCATCCCTGTAACCCTGATATTAACCCTAACACTAATCATTCCTGTAACCCCAACATTAACCGTAACACTAATCATCCCTGTAACCCCAACATTAACCGTAACACTAATCATCCCCTGTAGCCCTAACATTAACCCTAAACAACAATCATCCCTGTAGCCCCAACATTAACCCTAATACTAATAATCCCTGTAACCCTGACATTAACCTTAACACTAATCATCCTGTAGCCCTAACATTAACCCTAACACTAATCATCCCTGTAGCCCCAACATTAACTCTAATACTAATCATCCCTGTAACCCCAACATTAACCCTAACACTAATCATCCCTGTAACACTAATTACAACCCTTGGTACCCAGACAGTCCACTGAAGTGTGTGACAAGTGTTGGATCAAGGCAGCACATTGCCATTCATTTTCAGGCTCCCATAATGCATCGCGGTAACATACATAAAGGCAGGTGCATTCTGTACTCCCTTATGTAGGTGGTGCTAGGCTTAATCAGTGATGCAGAAGAGGAAGAGAAGGTGAGGAACTTGATTCCTCTACAACCTCCTGCAGTCATCAGGGGAGCAGCTGTCTGTTTGGATGCTGGTGCCCTGACTCACCCCGAGGCCATCTTTCCTCAGGGCAGTGTTTATTTAAGCCACTGGCTCCCGGGTTTGGCACGCATTTTGTGATTGGTTAGCGTAGGGACAGGTTCGCTCACCTTGAACCCTTCAAATTCTTGACATTAACCTTCCCTGTACCATAACATTGACCATCACACTAACTGTCCCTGTAAACATAACACTGTCCCACCCAAAATAATGCCCTCACACTAATGCTCCGTGTAACCCCAGCTATCAAATTTACCCTCCTGTAACCCCAACTATGACACTAGTCCTTCCTGCAACCCCAGCTATGACACTAGTCCTTCCTGCAACCCCCAACTATGACACTAGTCCTTCCTGCAACCCCAACTATGACACTAGTCCTTCCTGCAACCCCAACTGTCACACTTACCCTCCCTGTAATCCCAACTATCAGACTTACCCTCCTTGTAATCCCAGCTATCACATTTACCCTCCCTATAACCCCAACTATAACACTTACCCTCCCTGTAATCCCAGCTACCACACTTACCCTTTTTTTCATTAAATTTTTTACCCACATTGCCTTGTATAGGCTTAGGGTTATGCTTCTCTCCACGTGGTAACTGTTTTTGCTTATATGCATAGCATGTGATATTATATACCTATGGTACAATTTTTTAGAAAACACCTCCTACAGGGTGGTGCTGCAAATGCTCTAGACTATGGTTGTCACAGCCTTTGCAGCACATATATATCCAGACCGGTCTTGGTGTGATTTTAAATGGTTTTAGGTCTGTGTGTATTGTCTCATACTGAGGTGATGGTAAACCAGGGCGATTGCCCGATTGTCAATTATTAATGTGTAATAAAGCATAATTTTTGGAAATTTTTCTGAGTATCGCATTCTGTCCATAATGTAGCCGCTTTCTTGTGAATCTCTTTTCACAAATTTCTTTGTTGGTCTACCACACTTACCCTCCCTGTAATCCCAGCTACCACACTTACCCTCCCTGTAATCCCAACTATCACATTTATTCTCCCTGTAATCCCAGCTATCACATTTACCCTCCCTGTAATCCCAACTATTACACTTACCCTCCCTGTAATCCCAACTATTACACTTACCCTCCCTGTAATCCCAACTATCACACTTACTCTCCCTATAACCCCAGCTATCAAATTTACCCTCCTTGTAATCTCAATTATCACACTTACCCTCCCTATAACCCCTAGCTATCACACTTAACCTCCCTGTAATCCCAACTATCACACCTACCCTCCATATAACCCCAGCTATCAAATTTACCCTCCCTCTAATCCCAACTATCACATTTACTCTTCCTGTAATCCCAACTATCACACTTACCCTCCCTGTAATCCCAACGATCACACTTACCCTCCCTGTAATCCTAACTATCACACTCACCCTCCCTGTAATTCCAATTGTCACACTTACCCTCCTTGTAACCCCAGCTATCAAATTTACCCTCCTTGTAATCTCAATTATCACACTTACCCTCCCTGTAAACCCAACTATCACACTTACCCTCCCTGTAATCCCAATGATCACATTTACCCTCCCTGTAATCCCAACTATCACACTTACCCTCCCTGTAATCTCAACTATCACACTTACCCTCCCTGCAATCCCAGCTATCACACTTACCCTCCCTGTAATCCCAGCTATCACACTTACCCTCCCTGCAATCCCAGCTATCACACTTACCCTCCCTGCAATCCCAGCTATCACACTTACCCTCCCTGTAATCCCAACTATCACAATTACCCTCCCTATAACCCCAGCTATCACACTTACCCTCCCTGTAATCCCAGCTATCACATTTACCCTCCCTATAACCCCAGCTATCACATTTACCCTCCCTGTAATTCCAACTGCCACACTTACCCTCCTTGTAATCCCAACTATTACATTTACCCTCCCAGTAACCCCTGCTATCACATTTACCCTCCCTGTAATCCCAGATATCACACTTACCCTCCCTGTAATCCCAGATATCACACTTACCCTTCCTGTAATCCCAACTATCACACTTACCCTCCCTATAACCCCAGCTATCACACTTACCCTCCCTGTAATCCCAACTAATACACTTACGCTCCCTGTCTACACTTATATAAACGGCTTGTTTGCAAGCTCACTTCTTCTGGATCAGGGTCATCTATATGTAAGACCAACCTTTCTTCGGCCAAAATATATCAGCACTGTGGTCCTTTTGCTGGAACCTTCTGTTCTGCTGAAATCAGCCTTAATCCTTCTATGGATTGATCACAGCCGGACCATTGGGGTTTAAGGTACTTCAACTATTTAAAAAAGATTTAAAAAATGTCTTCGCACTGTTTTAAACTGCCCATCAAGCGATAAGGGGCTAACATTTTAAAGCACCTCCAGGATTTTACAGCCAGTATCAGACACATACTTGTAGAAAAGCACGGTGTGCTCCCTGGCATATTTCCTTTTAAAATAACTCACCAATGGGTGCAATTTTAAAGTCATTCCATATTAAAGGGGTGGTCTGCTCAGTGGACGCACTGACCTTTAACAGCAGGTGGAGCAGCTTCCAAGCTGGGTGGGATGTTACCATTGACCCTTATGCTGTTTAATGGGTTAACGACTGTTTTATTGAGTGACCTCAATGGGCGCAGATCTGACAAGAGACTTAACTAGGAAAATAACTTGTCACTTGTCTGGGATGCATAGTCACAGCTGAAATTCCTGGATCTGTGAAGAGTTCCTGAGTACACCACCCAAAAACTGATCTGGCTCTAATAGAGTTTGTAAGAGAGACGTCCTCTCGCTGTATTACACTTCATAGGAAAGTATACTGGCAGCTCCTTGATAAACAATGTGCATGCAGATCTATCATTCATGATGACAAGATAGGCAAACACTGACCATTCCAGTAACAAGCATTCCCTGTTCTCTAAATACATAATTCTCCTTCCAAATCTTGTTATGAAAAAGATGAAAGATTTATGTAGTGAATATAATTTATTTTTGTTGCTTGTTCCTTAACCCATACACTAGCTGGATGAAGGTGCTGGATTGTTTGTGGAAATCATCAGAGGCTCACAAAGAGTGGTGCACCATTTTTTTTCCATGTAAAATATGCATGAATTGCAAATTTATGTGCATAATAGAAAATCACACCATTGCTACTGTAAATTATGTGCACCTGAAGTGATTTACAATACCAGGCATGCACATAATTTTTAATATTTGAAAGAATTTCTAAACAAAATATAGCTACTGTTCCAAATAACAATACCTCAACAATTAAAAATAGTGTGAAAAGTAAAGAAACTTGCAATGAAAAAAAAACAAACAACAATGCAATATACAGTACACTGAAAATAACTAACAGCTGCTTAAATGTATAGCAATTTTGTACAGTCTCTCTTTTATTTATTATAATCAGGACTCAAAAGATCAATTAACAAAAAAAGGAAAAAATTGAAGGGAAAGAAACGGGGGAAAGGTTGCAAATGGACTTTAGAGGTACAGAAATTCCAAACACATATTAGTAAAATCATTTGTACATTATTATGACAATAAGTCATGAAAAAACATCTTGCAGATTAAAAGATCATAGTTATACTGTCCCCGCAGACAAGATCAATTAACAAAAACTTTTTTGTCCTATACTGTAAGTATAAAAAAATATTATATTATATTAACATTTTGCATTCTCCTCCCGGGCCAGCAGGTGAGATTATAGGCAGTGTAGTGCTACCCCTGAAAGAGTCGCTGGATTTCTCCCTTACAGCACCCACAGCCAGGCAAAAGTTATTTCCACACCAGAAGGCTCAATAAACAGTTTAGGGGTTTTGGTATTTAGTGTTCATTTTAGGAACAATGAACTTGGATGGGAAATGGGGGTGCATGGGATACCCCAAACTGAAGAAACACTGTAGAACTATGTACAAACAGTTGCAGACCTGCTAAGTCTCTGGCTGCTCTAAGTCAGAATGCAAGTTGTATTGCACAGCTAGTAGTAGTACAAAACACAAAAGAATAACAGTTCCAAAAGGTTGTATTAAAAACACAGCACCTGGCTTTATTGCACGGCACTTGGCTGCTCTAGTTCCAAGGTTGGAGAATTAGTGCACTGCTGGCGGTCTTGCACTGCACTTGAGCTACATTCTATCCTAGACATGTGACGTATTGCACTGCACTGTCCCCTCGCTTATGGGTGATGGCTAGTTTGTTACTCACTCAGTCTCTTAAGGAACTCCCAGGACCAGGGGTGGACTGACAACTCATGGGGCCCCCGGGCAATAGGGGATCATGGGGCCCCTGTGTCCTTGGCCAAACTCAAAAAAGCCTATGAAAATGGTACCAGGGGCATCTCATGGGGCCCCCTACTGACCCGGGAAGTGCCCGAGTTTCCAAATGGTCAGTCCGCCCCTACCCAGGACCCAGAATAGCTGCTGTCTTGGCCTCCGTTGGACATGCTACTTCTGGCTTGGCTGTGGGTCTGCAGTTTGGTTCACCTGAGACCTAAGGTGGGTGAATTCCTGAAGATCTCCTGTTCCTCTTCTATCTCTCTCACCTTGTTCACCTCTCTGCCCCAGGGGCAGAGCCCCCAGCACAGGGGTCCCTTCCAGATGACTGGACCACGGACTCTGCTCCAAGACTGACAGGCTTCAAAATATTTATAGGTCACTTCCCCATTTTCTGGGCCTGCCTCCCCAGAGATTGGTGGAAGTCCCATGAATATTCAGGCTGCAACCTCTGTCCTTCCACCCACTATGTTCTGAGTTCCAGAAAGCAGAAGGAGTTAACAAAGCCACTGCCTGTGAAGCACTGCACAGCCTTCTAAATAATTAACCCCTGCTCCTCTGCATGCAGAGAAGCCCACTCTCTAGCATCCTAGGGGGTGCTACAGCAGCAATACACTATGCACAGCTATTTGATGGAAGAAGCTCATTGTTTACAGAACTCAGTAGCTCAATGAATTTCAATCAAACAAGACTCCCCGTCGGCACTAGCTCTATTGTGGTATGTTTTAGTGGAGCAAAGCTTGCTAACAATCTAAGTCCCACACAATATTTGACTTTACTGTTAAAAATAACTTCAACACACAAGTTTAACAAAATATGGCCGAAGCTTTTTTGGGCATTTTTCTCTTTTGGGTCACACTTGCTTTTATTCTCTTGTGACCCAGAGTCAGCTTATAGCATGCTATTGCCTACTGTCAGCTGACATGGCAGAGCCACTCCAGGCTCTGGAAGGATCCCAACAATATTGTCGAGATCCACCCTGCTGTCTGATTGACAGCTGTCTCCAGCTCTCAGTGTGCGGCTGAGAGCCGAAGCCAGATGCACCCTCCCCCTCTCCAGCCTGGTGCTCCAGGGAGCACTAGAGAAGAAGAGCCAGAGTCACTGACAGTCACCGATCTCTGTCCTGAGCGATCATGTGTTTTGCTCAGTTCTCAGTCTTAGAGCTGATGTGGGACAGTTGCAGCATCACACTGATGCTGCAGCATAGAGCTATGTGTGGATGTTTGGTTTTTTTATATACCCATACTTCTCCTTTAAGCATAACTCCCTCCAATTCCCCATTTTATTTGGTTTTCCATGGTGGTAGCCTATGGACAGTAGAAACCAGCTACCATTTCTACACTCTGCACCCTTTCCTTGTACAAACTACATCCATCTCAGCTTGGGGGTGCACTTTGGACATCTTTGTCTTGGGTGCTAGTGGACCTTGTCCCTGCAGTGGGGGGGGGGGGGGGTCTACTCTTTAAAATAACTTGATCACATGAGCTTTGTCATGTTGCAATTACCCCCCCCCCCCCCGTTCAACGGTTTTCCACGGGCCACATCAGCTGTTATTTCTGCACCCTGCTCCCCCCACTGTAGGTGCAAACTACGTCTTAGCACATAGTGGGGGGGGGGTGCACGTTTGGCATTTTTAACTTGGGTGCCAGAGTACTTTGACCCAAAACATAGGGGTGTTACTTGGATTTGATGGTTTTATGGTGCTACTAAACTGCTCTGAGACAGCTGATTTGTTGAGAAAGCCAACCCTGTCACTCAATAGAAGTATGTGCCACACAATCTATTGACTTTGCTGTTAAAAATCACTTTATTGTTATGGGGTTGCCCATTCTTCAGACTCTTTCTGTGGCTCTAGTTAATGCTGCAGTGAAGGACGTTCCTTGATTTTATTTACTCTACTGGGGGCAAAGATGACCATTGCTGGAGCTTGGAAGCAATCTTTAGTCTCTTTGACCCAGGCGAAGAAGAAAGTCACCTGGATCATGTTGCAGGAGAACGCTGTTAGTATACTTCACAATACTCTGACTAGATTTGAAAATACGTGGGAACCCTGGGCTATATGAATGTTGTTTTATTATTGCTCAGTGGGGACAAGAGGTATGTGCTGCCTTAACATTTCACACTGGACCTTTCTTTCTGACTTCTTTTCCTTTGCTATTTCTTTCTTCTTTCTTTTCTTGTCCTGTTACCAGTTTCTAAAGTCCAATGTATATTTATGGCAGACGCCTAAGGTATCTGTCACCGAGTTCTCCTTCTCTGGGAGATAACTGAGCGATACATAGGGGATGATGATTATTGTCCTTCCAAGGATTTTCTTGAGCTTATCTGTTATTGATGGAGTCTATCGGATTCGGACCACCCCTCTGTATTCAATATGTGATCATTATCTTCATATCTCATGTGTTAATCTATTTTGATACTGATGATAGTTATTTGTTTTGTTCCGTCAAAACATCAATAAAAATCTATTGAAAGTAAAAATAACTTTATCGTATGAGCTTAATAATGTTGCAACTCCCTCTCCTTATTTATTTCAGGTACTTATAAAGCGCTGTCAATTTAGGCAGTGCTTTACATATATATTGCATATTCACATCAGTCCTTAACCCTCAAGGGGCGTACAATCTAAGGTCCCTAACTTACATTCATACATATACATACTAGGGACAATTTAGGCAGGATCCAATTAACCTAACAGCATGTCTTTTGGAGTGTGGGAGGAAACCAGAGTACCTGGCAGAAAACCCACGCAGGCACAGGGAGAACATGCAAACTCCAGGCAGGTGGTGCCGTGGTTGGGATTTGAACAGACGATCCTGGTACTGCCAGGTGGAAGTGCTAACCATTTAGCCACTGTGCTGCCCACTACCTCATCCTATTCAATTTTTCATAGGCCACTGTCCACCTAGGGTCAACGCCAGGGGCGGACTGACCATTTGGAAACTCGGGCACTGCCCAAGGGCCCGGGGTCAGTAGGGGGCCTGGGGCCAGTAGGGGGCCCCATGAGATGCCCCTGGTACCTTTTTCATAGGCTTTTTTGAGTTTGGGCAAGGACACAGGGGCCCCATGAACCCCTATTGCCCAGGGGGCCCCATGAGTTGTCAGTCTGGTAATGGTGGCTTTCATTTCTACTCCCTGCACCCTCCTATTGTACGTACAAAAGCTCGAGGTGGGAGGTGAACTTTTGGCATCTTTGGTTTGGGTGCCAGAGGACTTTGACTCAACACAGAGGGGTGCAACACGCATTTTATGGCCTTACAGCTGCTCCTAAACTGCCCCGAGACTGTTGATGTGTAAAGAAAGCCAACCCTCCCACTCAACAGAAGACACACGTAGACAGTAATAATATACTTCGTATAATTCCATACTTTGGTTAATGAGTTTTCAGAGAGCCCTGCTACTTCTAAAGACCTCTGAGACTTCTCAACCTCTTTAAACCAAAGTAATTCCAAACCTGTTCAGAAACGATATATATGTGTCTGCAACAGCATCTGCCCGCTATCCTGTGTTATCATCTACCAACTGTTCTAATTCCCATTAGCAGTAATGTATCTTCCCAGTAGTGTGATCAGGTAAGTCTGCTCTAGCAATACATTATAGAGACATAAACCTCGGCAGTATGATCAGCTTACAGGGATATTAGAAATGGGTTAAAAAAAGCTTTGGCTGTCTGCATATCCTTTCCTGGAAAAAAAACAGCTGTGTGCTTGCTATGGATTGCACAAGCAGATATGGTCGAAAGTATCTGCGGCCCTGACCTCAGCCTGCTCACTTCTCTTTTCTTCTGTTTGCACTTGACAGAGTTCTGCAACACTTGAGTGGCCTCCACTTAACATTGTCACGCAGCAGGGGTGCTGGACTCTCATCGTTACAAGAAAGGGGAGAGGTTAAAGGAGAAAGACAGGCAAAATTCAGCAATAAATAAGCCATAAGAATAGATCCTTACATGTGTCTACGTTTTTTGTTGGTGGCTGAATTTGTTAAGTGGTGGCGCCAAGGGGTTCAAAAATATCTTGAATGAAAAACATGTTTTTCTAATGGTTGAAGCCCAACTGCAGAAATATATGCACAGTCAGAAAGACTTTCCTGTTACAGCAGTTGTACCGGATAAAAGATTAATTCCAGATATAAATATTTTTATATACAGTAGTTACATTGATCAAGCTTGGGCCAATTTAAAGCAGAGTTCCACTCACACTGTAAAAAAATTCAGCAGCTATAAAAACTGTAGCTGCTGACTTTTAAAAAACAGCCACTCACCTGTCTCACGACCCCGCGGTGTCCTCCCTGCAGGCCGTTTCACCGCCCGTCCTGTGTTCCAGACACCATCATCTTCAGTGTGGGCACCCGGCTGTGACAGCTTGTGGCTAGGGTGCCCACTATGCATGCGTGTTTAGCACTGTGCTTCCTGAATGGCCCCAAAGTCTTCTGAGACTTGCGGTGGTATATATATACTGTGTATATATATATATATATATATATATACACACTGTATATACAGTTGTGTTCAAAATAATAGCAGTGTGTTGGAAAAAGTGAATAAAGCTCAAAATCCTTTTAATAGCTTTTATTTCCATACACACAAATGCATTGGAAACACTACACATTCTATTCCAAATCAAAACATGAAGAAAAATATATCAAATTTGTGTTGTTCCTCTAAAAAAATTGAAGAAAAGTGAATATTAGACTGTTCAAAAAAATAGCAGTGTTTGTATTCTTCTTTACAAACTCAAACATTCACTAAATAAACTGAAAAATGTTTGAAGATTTTGCTTTCCTTTGAATCACTTAATGAATATTTAGTTGTAGTCGCACTGTTTCTGAGAACTGCTGTACATCTGTGTTGCATGGAGTCACCAACTTCTGGCCCCTGTGATCAGGTATTCCAGCCCAGGATGATTGGACTACATTGCACAGTTCTTCTCTATTTCTTGGTTTTGCCTCAGAAACTGCATTTTTTATGTCACCCCACAAGTTTTTCTATTGGATTAAGATCCAGGGATTGGGCTGGCCACTCCATCGTCAACTTGTTGGTCTGGAAC